CGAAGTCGTCCCTTTCGACGCACCTACGCCTCGCGTAAGAGCACGAACTCGATTTCTTGCTCTATTCAACATAGTCCTAGCCATCGGTACCATAACGGCGGGAGAAACATCTCTGGTCATGTGGGACGGTACTGCTACCTATCTAGACGAAGCGTGCAGTCAGGATGGGAAATCCATCAGTCCAAACATCTACCTACCAATCAGGGCCTCGCAGTTGTTCTTTGAGAGGGCAAAATTCCACCTCGAGGATACCTTCGAGTCCAGTTCCTTCGAGACAGCTCAGACTCTTTTCCTTATGGTGTGTTTGCCTATCCACAGGCTAATGACATTGCTGACCTGCTATAGTCTGTCTTTTGCCAGAACGCCCTGAAACCACATAGCTGCTACATGTACGCAGGAATGGCGCTTCGCACTGCCCTGGCAATTGGAATACCCGCGAGTCTTCACTCCAAGACGAGTTTAGAAAGCCGTTTCTGGTGGTGAGTGTATTGCTTCCTAAACATAAACGCCTAAAGGCTAAGTTATTTAGGGGGCTGTACTCGCACGAAACGTAGTGTAACGTTCCATGCTACTTGTGCATTACTGACTCATTGTATAGAGAAACGTGCTCATCTGCTGGCCGGCAATCTTTCTTGCGGGAGCCGAGTCATTACCGGATTCCCTTGCCACGAGTACCAGTGAGTTGCTTCTTCTGAGTTGAATAGGGCACGCTTATGAACAAACCCCGTAGGATCCACCTGGACCGTCGTTGTATCTCATCAGCTACATGGTTGAACTAGCAGACATATTGATGGAGGTCTCGGCAAACGCGTGCAGACCCGATGAAGCAGCGACTTTGTTCCAAAGATCTGAGAGAACGTTCACTCTGGATGAGCGTCTCTCAACTTGGAAATCCCAACTAAGAGACCCCCTAAATCTAGAAAAGGCATCCCTGGATGAGGCAGAATTGATAACAAAGCAGAAGATCGTGCCGAGGCTTCGTCTGTACTTCCCCTGAGACATAGCGGTAACGAGGCTAATAATTAGCAGGCTTTCTCAATGCAAGAATCCTTCTGCACAGGCCATTCTTAATATCTGCCACGGCTGAGTCGCATCGAGAGCAATTCGCTATGCACACTCGATCATGCGTTGAAGCGGCCAGTGAGACTATCCGATTTGTCCACACGACATATCTGTATCGTCCGTATTTCCGCACTTGGTTCGTTCTCTTGGCATTTCTTCGGTTTCGACGGAAGACAACTGACGATACTCATCTCATTTAGGTGGTACAATTGCACGTATGTTCTCGATGCCACCATGGTGCTCCTCTATGTCATCCTGTCAAAAATTAGCCCCATAACCTCCGAGAACATCATGCAAGACATAGAAAAGAGCCTGGAGATATTCTCGTCGATGAAGCGACTTGCCGTGGCCCGTCGATGCACGGATATCACAAACGAGGTATTGGCCATCGCCAGGTCACATCACGAGAGAGGCCAACAACCGGATCAAGACTCGAGCACGTACAACGACGCCGCCCTACTCAGTTATATCGCCAACGCTCCCCCGGTGGATGGACCGGGAGGCGAGTTAGATATGTATGAAGCAGATCCGTTTGCAAGTCTTGTAGACACGAACCTTGTCTTCAACTTTCTTAATTTCGAGGACTGGACGGCTTGGTCGGATGCTGGAAATGCATGACCTGAGGGATACGTGCAAGAGAAAAGTCTCCCTTGTCAATGACATGTATTTAAGAATACGAATTACCGCCGTATGCGATCATAGTAGCCAAAACTGACTGTGAGCACACGAGTGTGCGTAGACAATGGGTTTGTATGAGAAACTTCAGGAGGATTGTGGCATGAACTCATGCAAGGTGTTGCGGTGACTGGTTATCCGACTGTGATCCCTCAAAAATACGAAAGCCGCCAGGTTAATGGCAATAGACCATTACCTAGGCATGTTCTCACTAGATATAGCTTGGCCCTCCCCACCTCTGTATGACGTGTCCTTCAGCGAAAGCTCTAAGAGGTGAGACTCTGAGTCAAGCTCGTTCTGGTTTTCGCAACGCTCCGAAGCCTCAAAATCGATAAGATTCGCCTTTCCACCTCGCACGAGGAAATTATTCCTGTTAATGTCGCCGTGTTTTATGCCTAAAGCATGTAGGCTTGCAAGACTGGCCCGACAAGCTGATAAATCTTCCGGTGTCGCTGTTTGAGCGTCATCGATGTGCTCCATGATGAAACCAAAAGCCCTTCCATCTTCCATAAGATGGCCGAGAAATTTGGGACCAATTCCTCTGCCGTTGATCCACTGATACGCAGTTGTTTCCGCTTCGAGAAACGGCATCTGCCAAGGAAATTCTGCAAACTTGACCAGGACAGAGCGGTCGAAGTGTGGGTGGGCAACCTTGTGAATGTTCTGGCGCAAACGATCGACTTTGGTTAACTCGAGATGGTCGATTTTGGTGGGATGCCAGATGTTTTTGACCGAAGGCAGATCACTCTTTTTAGTATGAGAGAATACCAAGATCCCACTTCCCTTATCCTTAGAGACGTGACCTTGGTTCCAGTCTCCAGGAGGGAATGACGGCAATGCCGGGATCAATGCTGGTGCAAAGGTTCGACGGCCCTTGAGTAAGGCCCCTGGCTCGACAGTAACGTATTTGACATGCTTTCCATCAATCAGGAAGCGATACTCGCTCTCCTCCTCATCATTCGAGTCCACAAGCAATGTGAGCAGCTCGACGTTGTTGTTTTTGGTCGGTGTCATTGCGAGATTCTCTTGAAGAAGATTGATGTTAATGTGGGCTTCTTAGGTCAAAGATCGCGGTCGAGCATTGTGCTGGTGGGCGTACGGATTCTTTTTGCTGCAGACGAAGGTTGACAGTGTTTTCATACTCAGGTCACCCACAATCTTTTCGGGTATCAAGGGTTATTCTAGCCGTTGACAGGCTAGTAGCCGCCCTGGGCGCTTGGACGTAAACTGAATTGAGAATTTGTACTTGATAGTGGACAGCACTTTAAACGCTGGCTTGGTCGCTGTTGGGGCTGTTGGTGGCTCATCTCTGGAAACAGGTACAGCGGTTAGGTTGCCACATCAGCTTATTATGTTTTATTTCTTAGCGCAGGGAGGCTTAGATAAGCCTGAAACGCTGATACCTTGGATAACCATCGCTTCATGACCCGGACTGTCTATAAATACTTCTGTAGACGCCCAGACGGCGGCTAAGTGCAATGTGAGCCGTACGTGATCTGCAGTTTGTACTCTATCACCCCCAGTCCCCCACTCCCTCTCCAATGCAAATTGTAGTTAAGGGCCATTATGTCTGGGCAAGAGAAAGCATGTTACACTTGTCCCCAGTCCTTCAGCACCTTCCGTCTTGCAACAAATCATTATATTTCGCAACTTCAAGGTGATCTCTTCTTTGCCAATCAGGTATTCTTTATCACCCTTTGTCTAACACGTTCGTCATTAATATTAATTAGGCCGAAATAATTGGGCTGGGAGCATTTCAGTCATCCCAAAACAAAACACGACGCCATGTGTACCCAGTTTTACCGCATTTACACTTGTGGTTGCAAGAAAGAGGAGCGGCACGAGCAATGTCCACCGCGGATCGGAACAAATGTCATATGCAACCGAATCAGTTGGATTCCGCTTGCTCCCTCGCTCCATGTGTGCAAGAAACACATGGTGAGGGAGGGGAAGGACGAGACGCGCCGCTGAAGATGAGTTCCTATGAGATCAATGATGGGACGAAGTTGTGGAATATATAAATACATAGGATAAGGATGAGATGCACTAGTCAATTTTAAATTTATATCAAACAACGTTGTTCATCCATGCTGTGGTTGATGATTCCTCATCGTGATTGGTCCATACTGCTCGATGTGCTCATTTAAGCCTTCTTTGGTGTATATGTGTCCGAAGTTCGCGGCAGTCTTCGTGCTTTCCGTACACCCAAAGCAATGAACGCCCCAGTCAACGACTTGAGCCGGGAATTTGACATACGGCGCAGAAAGAATTGCCATATATCGTCGAGGCTCTCGCGTCCCTCGATCTTCCAGGGTCCGTGCATCCAGTGGTTGCGAAACATTTCCCGTTGACATCTTAAGCACAGCCTCCCGGTCGTAGAGCATCGTTCGACTCCGTGATAAATTACCGGCATCAGTGTATCGCCCTGGAAGGCTGTAGGCATGGGGGATAATTTTGAGGTCTCGCCGTGAAAGACCAGTTACTCTCGATGCATACGGGGCGGTCGCAGGCAAGTACTTGAGATCCGAGATGAAGCACAAATAGCAAACGCGTTTGCAGGTGATGAGATAGAGGTAGCCACCGAAGTGGTTGCAGGTAGAGCATTCCCTAGTAGAGAGGGTTGCATATAAAGTTCTGCAATCATAGCCGTCTGCTCCGACGCTAATGATTCCACGAAGAATGTTGGGACAATGTTTTAGCACCATCTGATATGAACGCAATGAGTCAACATAGTCCATCGCACGATGATTGACACGCCGGATATTGGCCAAGGTCGGAATGTCTATGTTAAGAAGGATATTCGTGATGATTTCAGTGGGGAGAGAGTCCAGGCAACCGAATGATCGTTGTGGTTTGATGGTGTGTCGGCCATTGTCAAGGGGGCATCGCGTTTCCAGATCTGCATCATCCAAGGTGTGATCAATGATTCCTCAATTGATAACTTTGAGGGGAGCGATTGATCTGAAGCCTGATCCATGTTGCTCTAATAATAGCCGCTGAGGTGAGTGAACTCTCAATTGAAGTTGGACATTCAGAGAGGGAAGGAGGTGACGGTAAAGTGCGATGCACGGACCATATCTGCCCCACTTAGTTGCCGCTCACGTGCAGGGGTATTTCATCGACGCACGGAACCGCACCCGACAGAACCCAACTCTCCATCATCAACAAAACCATTTCACACCATCCATTCATCTCCAAAAAAGAAACGGGCAACGCGATTGTCTCGCATGTAAGACCAAAAAGGAAGTCTCGATGCTCGCGTTTGCGCGAACCGGGAATCGAACCCGGAGCCCGGGCAGGCGCGGTCACGTAATGACGTCATGGGAAGCCCGGATTTTACCGTTAAACCATTCGCGCTGTTTGCAGCACGACCATGCTAATTGTGAAAGGGTCCCACTTTATGGCGATATATATTGGGAGAGACCGACGGTGGTCTTTAACGTCAGTGGCTGTGGGGTAATCCAGAGCTTGGAACCCCTCCAAGCAACGTTTCTGTCACCTTCTGTGTTGAGCTCCAAGCATCATCGCAACTCCCGGCCCTACGACACTTCCAGGACAACCCTCTCCACCTCGCCTCGCCTCATACCTCTGTCCGCCAGTCTTTACAGTTGTCGATACATCCGCCGAACCCTCCGACTCGCCCATCATGGCCAGCAAGGTCGACCGCATCGTCGCCCGGCTGCAGAGCAAGATCGCCGAGGGCGACTACTACGAGGCCCAGCAGCAGACCCGGGTCGCCGCCTCCCGCTACATCAAGACCTCCAACTGGCCCGCCGCCATCGATATCCTCGCCAGCGTCGCCCAGCCGCTGCTCCGGGCCGGTCAGGGCGGAAGCGGCGGTGATCTATGCATCATGCTCGTCGACGTCTACCGCCAGGCCGAGCTCAAGCCCGACGCTGCCGCAAAGGGCCGCTTACTAACCTGCCTGCGTCTGTTTGACGCCGAGGAGCCTACGCGCAAGAAGTTTATAGGGGAGATGATCGGGTGAGTTTTGGTTGAAAGGGAAAACAGTCCTGGGTGGAGGTGCTGACGAGGGCTGGGGTAGGTGGTCAGCCAAGTTTGGTGAGTTCCCGGCTGGTGACGCTGAGCTTCACCACGTTGCCGGATCGCTCTACGCCGAAGAACACGACACATACGAGGCGGAAAAGCATTTGATATTGGGAACTAAGGACTCTCCTGAGGTCTTGACCAAGATGGAGTACAAATGGTACAAGGAGGGCGAGCCACACCAGGCAGGCCTGTTCGCGGGCCGAGCCGTCCTGCCCTACCTGCTCATCGGCAACGTCCGCGCCGCAAACACCTGCTACCGCCTCTTCGCCAGCACGTTGAGCACCGATAACCCCAGCTTGGGCGTCCAGGACGTCTCCGGCTCCAGTGGCGATATCCGCATCTTCCCCAGCCTCCCGCTGCTCAATTTCCTTGGCTTTCTGCTCATGGCAGTCCAGCGCGCGGCGCCCGAGCTGTACAAGGGACTCGTCTCCAAGTACGCCACGCAGATCAACGAGGCCGAGTCGTGGGCCGATGCGCTCCAGATGATTGGCGAGATGTACTTTGGCATCACCCAGCCGCGCAAGAGCAATCCTCTAATGGACATGATGAGTGGGCTGTTCAGCGGAGGTGCTCCTGGCGGTGCGCCGCAGCAGCAACAGAGGAGACCGACTCCGAGGGGCCTGGACGCCCCGGCGCCGGAGGGTCTGGATTAATTGCGTCGATTGGGAATTGCTGTATCATAGGACCTGAGAAAACATAGAGAGCAGGCGTTGCATAGGTAGGCACAAGGGCATGATTAACCGCATTGCTGTTCTTCCGGTTCGAACATCCAGTTATCCTCAGCGAGAGCTGCTACTTTGGCTCTGAGGCTTGCTCTGACAGCTTCGAGGAGTTCTGCGATTTAATCAGTGAGCCATGTCCAGTTGTAATTAAATAAGGATGTGGAGACATACCTTCGGGCTGTTCCGGCACAGTGCTGTGATTGATTTGATGGTGCTTCACGGCTTCAGCTAAGCGCTGCCTTTCTTCTATAGAAATGACGAGTTTTAGCCCTCAACTCGCGCATGCACATATACACAGGAGGGGAAGCGCATACTCTCGGTTTCTTGGCGATGATCCATCGGCACCTCGTCTTCATCCTCTAGAATCGGCGTAGGAGGGTCGCCGAGCTCAATCTCGCCGTGCTTGTCCCGAACAACAATTTCGGACGTGTCAGAGAGCACGTCGGCGTCGAGGTGCAGCGTCTCAGTGGATGTAGACGAGCTGGCCGTTGGTCGCCGGGTCAACTGGCTCTGGAAGAGGTTGCGACGCACGCTGGCCGAGGCGCCGTTGCGAGTGCGGGAGACGCCGCCGTTGGCGACTGGTCGAGAACGATCGGCCATGTGTGGTAATTTTCGGGTCGGGAATCAATGACGAAGAGGGCGGTTTAGAAGGAATGTTCGCGTGGTGAAGTCTGAGGATGGGAGGTTGAGATGGAGGTGCGTTGTGATGGCTTTGGTGGGGACGCGACAGGGGATAATTGAGTTGAAGTGTGACATTAGCCGCTGATTGATGGCCTACTGCTAGTAGGAGCGACTTGACAGATGCAGCATGCAACCTTCAGACAACGACTCTAATGTCACATTAAAGGTGCGCCTAAAGTAACTGCCTCGGTTCTGTCCAGGCTCCGGATTGCAACTCATTTCTGGAATCTCGCTAGCAGTCTCAGATATCCTCATCCTGACGACTTCACTAATTACTTACTAGATGGACATGACCTTAAACTTGCAAGTATATGCTTCCTATCAATAACGCCAAATCACAAATCACACATTAGAGTCCAGGGCCCAATGAATAACACCTGTTGAAACTACCCAATCTCCAAATCGAGGTCAACAGGACCAGGTGTTGACGGCCATCTCGGTGCACCAAGAACCCTCATCTCAGAGACTCATCCACACCCTACTATATATAAAGCCTCGCCACTAATTTACACGCAACACTCCTTTGAGATATACTCCGATACCACGATTGCGCTTGGAATTGAGTGATCACCCTGTTGTCCATCTGCCGATCCCACGTCCTTGGTTGGGTTTACAGGGAGAGGTTGTAAGAGTACTCGTCCTCCATGTTCTGGCTGACCCAAAGAACGACAGAGCTGACTGTGTTAGAAACCCAGCTGCAGTTTTCCGGGCAGAGGCGATGTAAGCTTACCTAACGCCGACCAAGGCATTGCTCACAACGTTCTCGATACCCATGCTCAACGCGGGCATAGCCACGCTCGGGACGACGAACTTGAGGACGAAGACAGTAACTCCTCCAGCCATGCCACCGGCAAGAGCGGCAAAGCCCAGGAAGAGCACCACGCGGGCCTTCCACGCCACGCCAGATCCGCTATAGCTGAACGAGTCGGCGCTGAGGCGCTGCTTCTCGACCGAGTTGATGATGAGCATGCCCAGGCTGGAGAAGATGAAGGGCAGCCAGTCAACGAACTTGACATGGACGTTGGAGCCGTTGTTGGGAGACTTGGACCAGACGGCGGAGTCCAGCATGACGTAGAAGGCGATGGAGAACTGCACAGAGGTGTTCGGTCAGCTAATTGCGCAAGACGAGCAATGCGCCACGGCGCGATGGGACAGCATCGCCAATTTGAAGCCACAGGACAGTTCGTGGCGACTAGCAGATGCGCAAGACCGATCCGCGACTTACCAAAGCTCCCGCGCCGTAGACACCGGCGTTGCGGGCCCAAATGCTGTTGAGCCACTCGGGCCGGCCGAACTTCCAGAGACGCTCCTCCTCCATTGTGTCGTGCACGAGAATAGGTATCGGGTTCGTCGGGGGTTACAGTAGATCGAAGTGTTACGAGGTCGGAGACGGGCGGGCCACGGGGGGATGGTGAAGGTCGGTGTCGAGCTAGGCACCTAAGATAGGATCGGGAGGATGAGGCAGCCCAGATGCTCGTGATGACGAGGCTGGGCAGCTCACGACGTCGGAAGGCTTGGCGCGTGCTAGGTCACGTGCGTGTACGATACGGCGTATTTGGTGGTACGTACCTTACCCAGACGCACGTCCCCGCCTCGCAGTCTTTGGTCACCTCAGCCCGCAATGATGCAACGGCCCGCGAGGAGAACATGGTCTATGCCTGAAAAACATGGGCTCGTGGCCTTGTGGAATGCAACATCGAGGACCACAACAAATAGCACGACAGAAGATCTGGAACGACTGGTGGGTGGAGGAACGAGCAAAGATGCCCCGCTGACTAGAGTTCTGTCAGAGCAGCCAAAGAGCCGTGGCTAGCACGAACAGGACCCTGACGTCCATCGATGTGGCCCAGTGACGAATGTGCATTAACACTGTACGGAAGACGTGGGACTTCAAATGCTCGTCGACTTGCTTGACCTTGGCCTTCGAAATTAACAGGCTGTGGCGTGCTGGTTGAGTCTATTTCCCGCATTTCGAAGCAGGGGTTGTCTGTACGGAGGAAGCATTTCTGCTTGATCAACCGGGTATCTGCATGATGGCGTACGCAGCGGCAGTAATAACGGCGGCGGGGCATAACAGCTAACAGAATGTCGCAGAAAGCCACTCAGTTGGCAACGTGTGGATTTGTATGTGTGCGAGTGCAAGAGAGATGGCTCGTAATCAAAACAACCAATGCTGCCGCCCTTATTCGCAAGCACTGATGTTGAGAGGGATGCTTATGGTGTTCACTTATGCCGCCCGCAGCACTCAGCTCGTCGTCGTCAAGTGAACGACCACACCAAACGCTCGCCCACCAATAAATAAATGGGCTCATGGGTTGCGTAGTCTGCAGGACCCAGCAGCGAGCAGCAGCCAAGACCAGCGAACGCGTACGTAGCTCCAATGTAGGTACGATTTGTACCTACATACCGTACCATTCCAAGAAACCCAACATGGCCAAGTTTTCCACAGCAACCGCCGCCCGAGCATCCCGACTTCTGGTGCTTCCCGCGGGTCACATGGAGGGCAGATCTACGAATGATCAACCACAAGTCGTGCTGAAATAAAGCTGAACTACGGTGCTACGCCCCAAAAATAGCAAGCCCGTCCACAAAGCCGGCTGCTTTTACCGCTATCCCGTCGTGCCCGGCGGTGGGCGCAGATGGCGGCTTGCTTAGGCGCCGCGGGTCGTGGAGGAATTGGCAGAAGGCGGCGGCTTAGAGGAGCAAAAGACAGCCTGAGGATTCACGGATTTCGCGGGAGCCGCTCGAAGGAAGCTGCCCGCAAATGAAGTGCCCCGTCGCCTCCACAGGGGCGCACTCAGCGTGCCTCAACAGGCTCAGCTTCAGTAGGGCAGCAAGTGATCCATGCCAAATCTAGGCTGCGGGGCGCTGGTGCTACTCCTTTTTTTCCTTTGGCCTGAGGTA